ACAGTATTTTATACTAAAAACGGAGTCAACCTAGGTAATTAACACTTTAAAAATTAAACTTTATACTTTACAAAGCAAAGCAAGTAATATTTATAACATATTTTAAGGAATTACATGTCATCTTCCTGATGATTTCAAAGGAATTATATATCCTTGTGTTGGATTTAGATCGCAGGCGTGTCTATAAAAGTAAATTTCGGTCGTGAAATGTTCAAATATTCTGGTAAATTTGTCTAAGGGATAATCGTTTTAACTTATTTAAAGTTTAACTTTTTTTATATATTTATTTCAATTAACGGCGATGACTAACGAATAAATTAGTAAAAAATCAAATAATATATTAAGGTTAAAAGATATAGTTAGTAAAAAATCAAATAATATATTAACAAGGTTAAAAGATATATTTAGTAAAAAATCAAATAATACAGTCAACCCCCTCTATAGTTATCTCCTCTATAGTCACAAAATTAATATAATTACAAATTTATTTTTACCAATTATTTATAACTATATAGTAAATACCTCTATATTAGTCACTCATCTTTATAATCACGGTTTTTTGTATCCCAAAGGTGTGACTATAGAGGGGTTTGACTGTATATGTCACCTATATATGATGTAAGTTCTTTTTACATTCGACATTTTTTTTTTTAGTAAATAATGATACAAATCAATGCCCTATCGAACGTTAATTCTAACTAATCCACTTACTTTTTTGTCACTACAGTGGGTAAGAATTTTTTTTGCATAACAGTAATCACTATACAATTAATACATTAAGAATAATAATTTATTTTCAATAGCTATGATAGACTGTATGTATTAGTTGTTTTAAATCGTATGTAGCACTTAATACATTATTATACATTATTATACTTACTATTTCAAAAGTAATTGGATAATTGGACTAGTGACAATTTTGAAATTGATGAATTTATTAAACAAACTCAACTTGATGCAGAGAAGATTGAAGACATTATCGAATTGATAACGTTTAGTAAATTTACAAATATAAAATATCTTGCTAAAGGAGACTTTAGCACTGTTTTTAAGGTAGTATGGACTGATGGATATATTTACGGATTTGATTACCAAAAGAATGTGTGGAAACGAAAAGGACAAATAAATGTTTGTTTAAAAGGTTTTGATAATCCTAAGAATATAAAGCAAGAATTTTTAAATGAAGTATATATTATATAATTTATTGTTATTTTGTTATTATTATTCATGTTCTATTTATTCTAATTAATATTTAGATTAAAAATCAATATAAAAATGGAGGTAATTCAACATTAAATTTATGGAATAACTAAATGATGATAATTATATGATGGTGATGGAATTCGCAAAGCAGGAAAGTCTCTGGAAATTATTAGATAGCAAATATAACGATTTAGATTGGAATTTTAAAGTCACTATCTTATATTACATAACTGATGGGTTTAATTCAATTCACAAAGCTAATTTAGTGCATAAAGATTTTTCATTCCGGAAATATAGTTAACCAAAAAAATGTATAGTTCTTCATTACTGATTTCGGACTGTGTAAGCCGTAAGCCGGTGTCTCAAGATTCAAGCACTGAAGGGGTTTTTGGTGTATTTCCTTACATTGCACCAGAAGTATTATATACGGGCGGAAAAGAGTATATCAGATATTTATTCTTTTGGAATTATTATGTCAGAGGTTTTTACTGGATATCCCCATATCATGATATTCCGCATGATGAAAATTTAGTAAGAAAAATTTGTCATAGACCTGAAATTAAATGTGAAATTCTCCAACTACTTTTTGATTTAATGAATAAATGCTTGGATGCTGAACCTCAAACTCGATCAACTGCTAATGAATTAGTTAATACGCTAGTTCAATTTTTTTATGATTTGGGAAATAAAAAAAAAACCGAATTATATAAGCAAGTTAAAGAAATTAAAGATTTGGGCAAAAATTCAAATCAAGTCATAACAATACGACCCAACTATCAGACACATAAACAAGCTATTTATACAGGTTGCCTTTTGAATTATCAAAATCTTCCTAAACTAATAAATGCTAATCCAGTAGTCACAGGTTAGAATGTTGCCCTATCAAAATATTGGTGTATTATTTTTTAACATTCCTTAACTCGTGTGCTTGTTTTAGTAAGCAAACATGTTGAACGTCCAGATTTTGACTAGTATCATATTTCATCATGGAGAATAACTATATCTTTTACAATTTATACTGGGTTATTTTCGATTTATATCCCCTGGATATACTATTTAGGTCTTGTACCAAAGTCATATATGAGACACCGATTTTTTTTATATGTCACGTTTATAAATTCAGTTTAACATACCCGGGTCTTTTACAAAATATACAAGTAATAGGTCTGGTAAAATATTCGAAGGGGTATTACCAACAAGGGTGTATTTCAATAACATGTTAAAGATTGCTAAAAATTTCTTATATCAAGTTTATTATCATAATAGTTAAATATAACACCATAAAATAAATCTTTTTCTCTTCATCAAATAAAATAAATTCCAAATATCCAAATAAATCTTTGCTTTTGTAACTTGATCTATTAATTGATCATATGTACAGCACATGTATAAGTAGAATTATAGTAAATCAACCAGTGATGTTTGCACAAGTATTTAAGAGAAATTTTTTCTATTATCATCTATCTAAAACTAGAATTAGAGTTACGTAAGTAGTTTGAGTTATTGCGTAGTATATTAAATGCCAATTGTTTAGTTGTTTGAGCGATAAACACCATTGGTTTAATTTAATAAATTTAAAATATTAATAGTTATACAGAAAGGCGTTCAGTTTTACAGCATAAACATTTTTTTGCAAACATTGATATACAAATTAAGATAACCTACATTGTGATAAAAGCATCGAATTTTCTGTAGAACAATTCCACCATTTTTCATTACCGCATACACCGCAAGTAATGTAAAATTTCTATTCTTAATACATTGCAATCTGAGGGAGTAGTGGGATGTATAAAATTGATATTGTTTTTCAACTGATAACGTCATCAAGGAGCATTAATTTTTCTTTGTTGATCATAAAATGTTCTACATGAATGAGTTTTTTGCCGATTCGGTTATGCTATTGATTTCAACATTATTAAATTATTTTTGGTATGTTAGTTTGTACGAAAATTTTTAAAAAAAATATTGACAAAAAATATAAAAAGGGCTCCAGATATAAAAGTTTTCATAAAGCGGAATGAAAAATAAGTTATAGATATAGATATGCATATATGAAGTTATATGGAGTTAAATTAGACTTTATAATTAACAATTATAATTCAAGATTCCAAAAAAAATCAAGGTTTTAATATTTTTCGAAAATGTTTTATTAAAGTTTTTCACTATATCAATACAGTATCTTTTAAAGTGCTTGAGAACTTGACTTATAGATGCTCTGCTAAAACCTAAGTGTTTAGCAATTGTTCATTTCTAAATTTTTTCGTTTGCTAGTAAAAATGGATATATGTATGTAGTCAATTTATCGTTATTGAATCTATTATGCCGAAATCAATAATTTGACTGGATTTGCAAAATCCTTTGACGAGTTTGTTGTCAAATGTACTAGAATTTATGACAACAGCTAAATCACTTAATAAAATTGCGGGCCAACCTTTTTTCATAATTTTTGAAACATCTGATAAAAATTAGTTGAATGATTTTTTCGGCCAATTCGGTTAGGCATAATAGATTCAATGAGGGAATCTAATTTGGCAGAAATAAGTAATGAAATGTTGATTTTTTTGTTGTAGAAAAGTTTATTTATATCGTTTAAAGATTGGACCCGGGTGCATCACCCGGGTTACCCGAATTTCTGGAGCAAGTGTAACGTAAAAATCGAAACGAAACCACTTTTTTTTACAAAATACTAATTTTAAAAATGCCTAATTAAAAAATGTTCCTCGTGGTGTTTTTACTAGTAAGTCCTGTTGGCTATTGGTCTAAAATGCGCAATTCATTCGATAAACACACTATACAAATTTTTTTAATAAGGATAATAAAATTCACACACGCACTCGAAAAATTTTTGTGATTTACAAATAAAGTTTGTTTATGTTTAATAAATTCTCAGTTCGAAAAAAAAAATATACAAGATTGAAGAATAAAGTCATCATTTACATAAGTTTGATAAAGAAAAAAAAAATATGAAAGAAAGAAAAATCCAAATAACAAATATGTAAAGAATATATAAAATAAACTAAATGGCCATTTAATTAAAAAAAAAAAAACTAAATTAAAAGAAAGTTGATAGGGACCAGCCCTTTATAAATTCTAAATCCTATCAGATTGTTCGTATCTAATATCTAATATATTTCTAACATATATTTAATTTAAATCATTGAAAGATGATAAGATATTTTGGAATCACGGCCTGGTTTAAAAATAAAAAGTTATGTTAGAATGAAAGTAAAAAAAAAAACTATAAAAAATTATAAAATACGTACTGCCTCAGCATTAAGAGTATAAACCGGCCCAGGCTGGCTAGTAATGATATCGACAACAAACATGGTTTTTTCCGAGGCAACATTATAACGAGTACCTCCATTATTGCAATAGTAAAGTGAAACAGACGAATTGTTTGCAAACCATAATACTGATATAAGAAATAGAGCTAATTAATATTGAGCTAACATACGAAAAAAAAAATATATATATCTAATTACTTACGTCCATCACCGGAAAATTTAATTTTGTTTCCGTTTTGTGCAATACCACATGCACCACAACCAGATTTACAAAATGCAGCTTTTGGATTTGAAATGAAACGTTTAGGACCGCATACAGATTTAGTTCCATGAAATCCTCTAATATTTGCCATTGTTTGATTGTTTTTTTTGTATTGTTCATGAGCTATTACGAGATTAATTGGGAAGTTTAATTTAAATATTCCCAAAATAATATTACCGGGAAGTCCCACACGGAAGGAATTAAGAACATCAAGATATTCTGGATCAGTTTGTTCTAATAACTTCTTTTCAGTCTTATAAATCACAGGATCTGAGGTTGGTTTGCTAGGTGGAGGAAGAACAGTCTGATTAACAGACTCAGGGGGAGGAGATGGTGTCTGATTAACAACCACAAGAGGTGAAGATGATGTCTTATTAATAGTCATAGGAGGAGACGCAGTCTTGTTAACGGTTACGGGAGGATTTGCTGGAGTCTGATTAACAGTCACAGAAGGATTTGCTGGAGTCTGATTAGCAGTCACGGAAGGATTTGTTGGAGTCTGATTAACAGTTACGGAAGGTGGTGATAGAGTCTGATTAACAGTCACAGGAGGTGGAGGAGTCTGATTAACAGTCACAGAAAGTGGTGGAGGAGTTTGATTAACAGTCCCAGGTGGTGGAGGAGTCTGATTAACAGTCACAGAAGGTAGAGGAGGAGTCTGATTGACAGTCACAGGCGGTGGTGGTGTTTGATTAACGGTTACATAAGGATTTTGGACGCAAGCTGTACAATAAATATCCTTTCGTCCGGAACAACGATTAGGACATCCTTGTCTTTGGCAAGGGGGCTTCTTTTTTTTAACAATTTTTTTTGATGCCACGATAGACTTTTAAAACTAAATGATCTTTAGTGGATTGCTTTTTCATGGTATTTGTTTGTTCTTCTAATTTGCAAAAAAAAAGTATGTAATGTATTGAAATCAGTACTAAATAGAATAATTAGGATTCAGAATGATTCAGAAGTGAATTGTCTCTCTAATTTTCGAAAACTACCATGTATTTAAAAGTATTCATCACGGAATTTAATTTCCGAGTGGTTTGATTTTTTTTTTAAAGATCTTTTTTTTTTTTTGTAAGCACGTTCGAGAATAAGCAATATAATAAATAACATCTGTACTCACGTTCGTTGGTCATTACTGCTTTGGTATTGGGTATGTAAACAATTTACTTGTTTAGGATATTAAACAATAAAGTTTACAGTATTAAAGAATTCTCACAAACAGATTTTCCGTGAAATTGAGATGTAAGACATACATCGATTATCGAATGTTCTTTATGTGGTGATAAGCACTCGGAAAATTCCGTAAAGTCGTTCATAGTTAATTTAGCTATAATTGAAAAATCGGCTAAAAATAATTACATCACATAACGGATTTTGTTGATATACTCCGATCTTTGTATTAGAATTTAACCCAATGTAATAATAAAGGATGTAGAATCATTATTCTTCTTGTTTAGGACAATTATTTAATGATTCATTTATTATCTCAACTATCTTGTAATGTTAAAGATGAAAATCTTATATGTTAATAAACGGAATGTCTTATGCATGATTAGAAAATTTATATCAACAATATTATTGTTGCAACAATCAACGAGTGTTTCATATAATATTCCTTAGGTTTTACCATTAAAGAGATCCATTTAGTCATATTCCTAATTTTATCGGCCAATATCCGTATTTCTGCCTGTATTCCTTGGATTACCTTAAAGGATCAAATTAATGAGCTTGGTCATTTTTGCTCCTTTTTTTTTTTGTTTGAAATTAATAATTTATAATTCATTGTTTTCATTTAAATTTGATAATCGATTTAATGGTTCTTAAAAAAGAAATAGATTTAAAGGACTTGATATTTGTCGTTATAATAATATATAATTAATAATTTAAATGATTATTGTGTAAAAATATCATTTCCTATAAATTTCAAGTATATATTTAATATAAAATATATTAAATATTAATATATATTTTTAATATGGAAATATGGACGTTTAATCAATTTATTAATTTACACTAATATTATTTTCACTCGTTTACAGAAATAAAATTGTATACTGCTTGTTCTTTATTAAAACATTTTCTCAGTTATTGTTATTTGCTTCTTACATAAATAGTTTAATATTAATCTCATTATTGTTCTTTTAAAATATAAGTTTTTTTTATTTAACAATAGATGTATGCTATTTATACTATCTAATGACATGGCAACATTGTTACACAACTCATTTGCTATAGAATTTTCTTGAGATGTGTTTATTTATAGGTTTTCTACATAAATTTCTAAATGGAAGTGGTTTGTGAAATGCGAGTATATATAAGGTCAGTTTATTGTGTTTGCGCACCATCGCTTAAAAATTATTCAACGTGCTAAGTCAAGACAAAATTGAAAGGGTTATGGTTACACGACTCTATGTTACAACCTTTTCGAGGCATACAATAAAAACTGGATAAGAACATCCGGGATACATTTATAATTAGTACTACCAATAATAAGCAAGTTAATTAAATGCGCATGCTTTAAAACTTTATCTGCTTATATGGAGCATGTATGATGATCTTTTTGACAGATACGTACTGTGCTTATGTAGACCACGCAATGCGATTATGGGGTTTCGATCATGGGTTTACTGAAACAGTACAACAGTGACGAGGCAACATGAGACTTCTTTCGAAGAGAATCTTAATACTTTTTCATTACATTAATTGATTTTTCTATTCGTCAAACCAGTTATCTATGTTAAAGGAATGTTTATTTATTGTTCTTATACATCTAGTTTAACTACGGATTTTTTGATTTTTATTCAAAGACTAAAAAATACCATCTTCTTATATAACCTTTCCTTCTAATTCACAATATCTTCATTCTATTTAATATTCTTTACAGAAACCTGTATTTTTTGCTAAATATAATTATCATGTAGTAGTTAGATAACTATTACTGTATATGATAATTATATTTAACAAAAAATAGGTTTCTGTAAAGTTATTTTACCTACGATAATAATAGTTATAATTTTTATGTGAATTATGTTTCTTACACTAAGTCGGCTCAAAATGCATCTTTGCCTAAATCATACAATTCTACATCTTTTCCTTATGATATCATATGCTCTACACAGCTGCTATAGGTAATGGTCCTACATCACGACAACATATAATGATAAATACATTATTCCTAAATTATCTACATAGCATAAATGCATTCTAAATAGATATTACGTGTCATAACTAGAAATGTGCCGCGTGCAAAAACATTGTTTCTGACCCACTTGGATCACGTTTCTGACCTTAAATTTCCGACCCAAAAAAAAAA